CTGGTGATGCCAAAAATTTTTTTGCACCATCTGATACTGCTGCCCAAACAAGTATCGTTGATTAGGGGATTTTCTGGAAAGTGTAGCGAAGGGTTGTTCCACTGGATAGTTCTGGTTGATCTTGGTCTGGATTTGGGTTTGGTGTATACGATTTCTATAGATTTTTGTTGTATGTACCGATTTACAAAGCCAACCATTTGAAAATCCAATTGCATTTTCAGCTATATTTAAATATTTTGCAAAAACTTTTGCTTTTTTTATAATTAGTAAATTTGTTAATGGTATTTTTTCTTGTACTTATAAATATCATTTTTTTAGTACCAACTCAAGTTTAAGAAATTTGACATTTTGTATATATTTTTATAATGGATTTTTTATATATGTTTCTAAAAATTCCTTTGATTGTTTTAGTGTTCTTGATATAGTGGCTTGATTAATTTTAATTTTAATTTTTAATTATATCATTAAACAAGATCTTTTTATAATATTGTTAGATTATTTTGTTTTTCTAAGCAAATATTACATTATTGTAAGTTTGTTAATGTTGTTCATGTTATTAGAAATAAGTAGATCAAAAAAAAATTATAATTAAAATAATTGATTTAAATAAAAAAATAAATCATATGATTTTATATTATTTTCTTTAAATATATACTTCTCTAAATATACAAATTTGATTGGTTTCAACTATATGCAATTAGAGAAGTGTGACTGTATATACTAATTATTTTTTTTTAAAAAAGTTATTATTATATTTTATAAGTTTAAATATTAAATATTAAAATTTTTTTATTAACATTTATATTATTACCTACTTGGTGTCATATAGGATTAGATTAAATACATACAATAAACTAATTTTAAAAAATAAATTAAATGTTCTGATTTTGTGTCACCCGTGTCACCTGTCTGTAGATACAGTCTCTTACACGTGTTTCAGAAATCAAATAGTATAACTAAGATTTTAGGCTTCGTAAATAATATACGTTAACACGTTAACACCAGTTTATTCATAATTCCAACTTTTGATAAAAATGTCTGAACGGGTAAGTTATAAAAGTAAAAGTTATGTTATGTAGTTAATAATTACCTTGTTAATTTACAATATTAACGAACATAAGGGTAGAGGCGGAGGCAGGGGTGCAACACGTGGTGGTGGTAGAGGTGGACGTGGTAATGCTAGAGGTGGTCATACCTTTGGCGGTGCCGACGTGAAACCCAAGAAAGAGTCAATACTCGATCTTTCAAAATATATGGATAAAAAGATACGTGTAAAGTTCAATGGAGGACGTGAAGGTGAGTCAATATTTGGTTTTCTTAGTATTTGAAGGATTTAGCTTAATTAGGTTTTCAACTATATTTTATATTCATTAAAACGAAGTGACCGGATTATTGAAAGGTCATGATCCATTGTTGAATCTGGTGCTCGATGATACTGAAGAACAATTGAGAGGTACGCAAGAAATCAAAGTTTTAATGTTATTCTTTATTTACTGTTACATACTAATGATTAAAGACTGCGTATTTTTAAGATCCTGAAGACAATCGTCTTTTAGATGACGTAAGATCACTAGGATTAGTAGTTTGTCGTGGGCCATCGGTAATATTAATATCTCCTGTTGACGGCACAGAAGAAATTGCAAACCCATTTGTACAAGCCGAGGAATAATTGTGTTTAAATTGGTATTTAATATTTTTTTCTAATTTCAGATATTTACATAGAAAGAAACAATAATTTATAATATCATTTTATTAGTTCATTACTATAGAGATGGAAGCAATTCTTTTAGTTTAGTTCCGTTTTATGGAACATCAGAACTGATCTAAAACAAGTTTAATATAGCTGTTCTATTTTTGGTTCATAACAATTAAAAATCGAATCATTTCTAATTATTCTTTATTGAATTTAATATTCAATATTTAATTGAAATCATTGTATGCAATAAAAACATTTAAATGTCATCTGACATTTCAATATATATTATCTTTATTAATATATATTTTTTTGATAAACATTGTTATTTTTGATACAATTATGAGTTTTTGAATTATACAATATGTAAAGAAATAATCAAAAAATTTTTTACAATTGAAATTTAAATTTAAATGTTAAATTAAAATAATGATTTTATTTAAAATCTTGTTTTATTTTTAGTAACATTTTTTAAAATCATTATAAATAAATTTTTTAATGAAGATCTTGATCTGTTCTTTTATATGTTTTTCAAAATTAAAAATATATTAATATATTAATATTGTTTTACTTAATAGAATTTTTTTTAAAAAAAAAGTATTTTAAAATTTTATAAAAATTAAAATTTTAAATTAAAATATTAAGATAAATAATAAAATATTTTAAGAAATAAAGTTTTTTTATGTATTAGTTTGATAATTTTTAAATTTTTTATTTAATTAAATACTTTTTAATTAAATATTGCAATTATAATTAACTAAAAATATAAAAATCAAACTTTATAATAATTTTTATTTTTAATATTAAAGAAACAATTTTATTTTTTAATAATTTTAAATAATTATTAAAACAAAATAAAAAATTTTAAATATAATATATAATGTATTTTTAAATTAATTGAAATAAATTTTCAAAATAAAAATATTATTATTACATATTTTTCTTTTATATTTTTTTATTGTTTTTCTTTTGAAATTCAATTTTTATATATTGTTATTTTTTGATTCCAATATTAGGACAGAGTTGTAAAATTAACTGAAACAATAATTTTGAATTGTTCATATTAATTTATTTAATAATATTTGAAACAAAACTTATATTAAATAATTTAAATCATTGAGAATTGAAAATTATTTTTATTGATAATTTTAAAGTTGATTAAGAAAGTAATTGAAAGTCTTAATATATTACAAGATGTTGCAAAAAAAATAATAAATTTAAATATAATTAAATTCACATTTATAAAATAATTTTATTGGGAATTACTTTATTAATTAATTTATAATTTAATTTGATATTTTAATTTTTAATAAAAATTTTATATTGTACTTTTTAGTTTCTATTTAATTTCTGTTTAAAAAAAGATAATATATATATATTTACAATACTAATTATAAATAATCTTACATTTTTTAAAAATTTAAATTTAATTCAATTGTTTTAAAAATTTTAGAACAATTGAATTAAATTTGAATTTTTAAAGGATGTAAAATTACTTATAACTAATATTATATATAGGTTTTGCTTTTTAAATAAAAGATTTTAAAAAGTAAAATAAAAGAACAAGATAATAAAATTATTATTATTTTTTTTAATTCTATAATTAGGTTGATGTCATTTATTTATTAAATCATAAAAACTATTACAAATTAAGAATATCTGAAAAGTATAAATTTTTCTGATCCAATTCATCTATTAACAGCCGAAGCCTCTAGATATAATTTATGGAAGTGATATATTATTAACCTGATAGTTAAGATTAATATCCAATTATGTTATAAGGATTACAGCCTGCAGATTACTTTTATAGTTATGACTATACATGTGTTTGTATTTAATTTAGACATTTTTCAAAAACTGTATTATGTTCGTATTACTAAGTAATAATTACCATATACCACTGCATACAATACCCCTCTCCAAATACTATTCACCACTAATAATACCAGGTAGTATTCAAGAAAATTGTTACTTGATAATTGATTACTACCCGGGTATATTAATATAATAATAAGTAAGACAATACTATTTTGAATTTTATAATAATGATATATCCTACCACTAATACTACCCTCCTCTTAATAAAATACCCCCGAGTATTAATCAATTTATTAAGGAATAAATTGATTAATACCTGAAGTATTGTATGCAGTAGTATATGGTAGTAAATAATTGGAAATCATATTTAATTCAGAATCGTATTGTCGATCAAATTTCCTTTTATGGTAATAAGAAAACATGTATAGTTATGACCATAAATCCAAATTGTGTTACCTCCCTCTTGTAGTAACTATGCAAGGGAAAAAAAAAATAAAAAAAGAATTTTTTGAAGAAAAAAAAAAGGAAAAAAAACTATCATCTATTCTAACTATAATTGAAAAGATTATTTTTGTAAACTTTAAAACTCAATTCTCTCATGATTCCTTACTTCTCATCACTTGTAGCCAATCAAACTGTTTAATTTCTATTGAAGTAGTCAATGTTTAAGAATATTTAAGAGTATTTTCAAGAAAGTATTTCTTGTAACTTTATACTTGAAGACTTCAAATCAGAAAGAATGTTGATTTTCTATTGTTAATTTCTCTCCCAAGTCATGTCTTCTGGAATTATTGCTTCACTCAACTGGTGGATAGTTTCAAGATCTCTTTTTCTAATCATTTTTAAGATAAATATCAGTATTTCAACTTGTTATCAGATTGGAATAGGACCTAGATCTTGTTGCTACTTCTTGTCCTTAAGAAAAAATAAAAAAGAAAAAAAGAAAATAAAAGAATAGAAACAAAAAGAGATTGCTTCTCTTTTATACACAACTTCAACTTCACTTAATACTTTCATACTACTTCTTTAACCAAAGCCATTCTATTCTTTCAGGAACCAATCATATCATCAGTTTGGTGTTGTATGATTGTGAATATGTGAGGAGTACATGTCTTATTTACTTTTTTTATGGCTGACATAATCAATCAATCTGCAACCTTGACCAATTATCATTTAGAAAATCTGGTGTAACCAAAAATTCAAAGTTAAACTAAGGTAGACAAAATTCTTCAAAAAAACCAGAAAAAAGAAAACATGCTTGAGAAAAAAGAAGTAAGAAGCCAAGGAGATGATAGGAAGACTAAAGACTTCTTTATTCTTGTTTTTCTGAATTCTTGAATCTCTTGAAAGCCTTTGGAGTATGTTTTTTCTTGTCAGTTTTCTTTCTATAAAAGTGTTCTTGCCATGAACCTTTTAGATAGGTTTTTTGTATTTAGTCACAAAAATAAACAATAAAAGTATTTTGAAAAAGAAAAATAAAACAAGTGATAGCTTCTGCTCACTTTACTGGTTAAGAAATTAGTATTGTTAAAGAGAGTGTATAGACTTTATTATTATAAAAACATAAAATCTTTTGAGAATGTCTGTTTTTTTTGGGTTGGCAAAAGAATCAATAAAAAGAGTTTTTTTTTTCAAAATAATAAATTTAATTTTTTTAAAAAAATATATACTATATATATATTAATACAATAAATTTTAAATTAAAAATTTTAACAAATTTATATCTTTTAAAATATAAATTAAAAAGATTTTTAAATAAATACTTATTTAATAATTATAAAAATTTCAGTTATAAAAATTTTTTTGATTTTTTTTTTACAATATCCTATAACTTGTAAATTTCATTTTTTATTTATTTATTTTAATATTTATTTTAATATTTTCTGTTATTTTTGTTT